TAGAATGATTCTTTCTTGCCCATTCTCAGGGGCAGAAATACACTTCTGTGTCTCCACTCCTTGCTTTAAGAAAACTCTTAGATTAAAAATGATTACTTTTATTCCCCAAATGTATTTTTAAAGTGCATGAGGCTTGGATTTTACAATGAATAAATATCTATGGAAGACTGCATATATTTCTTAATCTTGTATATAAGACAGTTTTGTTCAGCTGAATATTTTCTGGCATTTGAGTTTATTACAAATTTAATGGAAAATATGGAAGGTAAAATTTCTTTTCAGTCATCTATTGATATATATATTCAGTCATCTATTGCTGCTTAACTGGGTCTTATACATCTGGTCTATAATAATAAATCAGTATTTATCAGTCATAATGAGCATTCATAGAGACAGCTATGCGTGTGAGTTAGAGAATGCATAACCGATTCATGTTCTTCCTCTTATTAGTAATGACTCCAGCTATAGTAGAAAAAATGGCTAAAACTTCTTTTAAAATCTTTTTGTAAATATTTTAAGGCAGAAATTTGCTCAATGTAACCTCTAGGATAAGAACCATATTGAATCTTTTGTAAAAAAAATTAGATACTCTGAATGTAACAGCTGGATTTGAAGGCTGAAGCCACAAAGAAGGTGATCAACTGTAACTCACTCTGGATCTAGTCACAGAGGTAAGACTGTCACAGCTATTAACTGCAGAGACTGTTGTGTTCAGCTATAAAGGCTTAGTCCTTGTGACAGCTGGGATGGTTCTATGGAATATTTTTGGTGTCCACTCACAGAAGATGTTAATCTCACATTCTTGTGCAGGCAAAACTGCAAATGCCTTGATGGCTGCAGAATGAACTCTTGAAATTGCAGCATAAAGAATCATTCCTTGGTAGAATGAAGAAGATCTGGCCACAGTAATGGCATTTTAAAAATAATGTTTTATGTCTGAGATACATACCAACCAATTCCACTCTTCTTCCTACAATGCGATACAATCAGAACTAAATGCATGCCAGCTAAAATTATAGGCGGTGGCAAGTGAGGTCCACTAACGGGACAGGTTTGCTTTTTAATTACATATGCATGAACAGTCGGGTTTTGCACTTAGAAAAGACAAAAAGCCTGTGAAAACAAGCCATTTGACCATTGTTTTAAATTGTTTCATACTGAAACCTTGTAGGTGGTCATGTATTTCCATATGTTTAGTGTAATTGCAGCCATTTCATCCTGGAAAAAAAATGCAAAATACTTTGGAAAATTCCACAGGAAAAAGTAATACAATCCTACTCCAAAGCAAAAGACACCCTCCTGAAGAGTTCTACACTCTGCAATTCCTAAGCTAGCTCAGACACAGGGTACAGTTTCAGAAGTCCCCACAAGAAACTGAAGACACACGTAGAATAACACGAGAGCAAAATGTAGAAGATTGCCTATGGACACATAATGGTTTCCGGTCATAGACAACTTTTTATTTTTTCCAAAACACAGAGCTTGCTTGATGCAACCATAAAAAAAATGCACAGATAGGCCAGGCTCAGAAAGCACTTTGGCAAGCCAAGTTGTTGCTGCAGCTGTTGCTGCTCAGGATGGATGGCTTGTGGGAAGATAAGACCACAGTTATTGCTAGTAGGAAAGTGATTCCTTCAGTAAATACTGTCACGATCACTCTCCCTCCTATCTTCTGCTGACATTAAATCTCAAGGGATCTATTTGTAGTTCTTCAATGCCTTTGTATCCCTTTCTCCTGCTGCTCCCTTTCCCATATCAGGATAATCTTGGCCAATCCTCATTTCCCCAGCCTTGGGAAGGATGATTTGCTTACATGGCTAAGGAGCCTTAAACTGGCTCTGCATCTGACAAAATCAGTTCTCCGGGAAAGACAATCTCCCTCATAGCCTCCTGAATCACAGAATGGTTTAGGTTGGAAGGGACCTCTGGAGATCATCTAGTCCACCCCCCCTGCTCAGGCGGGGTCACCTAGAGCATATTGCCCAGGATCACATCCAGACGGGCTTTGAATATCTCCAGGGAAGGAAACTCCACTACCTTTCTGGTCAACCTGTGCCAGTGCTCAGTCACCCTCACAGTAAAGAAGTTTTTTCTCAGGTTTAGGTGGAACTGCCTGTGGTTCAGTTTCTGCCCGTTGCCTCTTGTCCTGTTGCTGGGCACCATGGAGAAGAGACTGGCCCCATCCTCTTGACACTCCCCCTTCAGATACTTGTACACATTGATGAGATCACCTCTCAATCTTCTCTTCTCCAGGCTGAACAGGCCCAGCTCTCTCAGCCTTTCTTCAGAGGAGACATGCTCCAGTCCCCTCACCATCTTCGTAGCCCTCCGCTGCACTCTCTCCAGTAGCGCCACGTCTCTCGTGTACTGGGGGGCCCACAATTGGACACAGTACTCACATTACCCCAGGTGAGGCCTCCCCAGGGCTGAGGAGAGGGGGAGGATCACCTCCCTCCACCTGCTGGCAACATTCTGCCTCATGCACCCCAGGAGACCATTGGCCTTCTTGGCCACAAGGGCACACTGCTGCCTCATGCTCAACTTGGTGTCCACCAGGACGCCCAGCTCCTTCTCGGCAGAGATGCTTTCCAGCAGGTCAACCCCCAGCCTGTCCTGGTACCTGCGGTTATTCCTCTCTAGGTGCAGGACCCTGCACTTGCCTTTGTGGAACTTCAGGAGGTTCCTCTCCGCCCAGCTCTCCACCCTGGCCAGGTCCCTCTGAAGGGCAGCACAGCCTTCTGGTGTGTCAGCCACTCCCCCCCAGTTTAGGATCATCAGCAAACTTGCTGAGGGTGCACTCTGTCCCTTCATCCAGGTCACTGATGAATACATCTTGCATTCAGTGTAACCATTTTTGTTATGTTTTGGGGCAATTATTACCAAAAGAAAAATAACATTTAGAAGAGATTCTAAAATAAAGTCTACTTCTGGCTTTAAATATTCACATCTGTGTGGTAATCAGTACATGAGCAGCTATACAGTTTCCCTGTTAATTCGCATAAAACTCTAAGATTCATAGAATCACAGTTTACATTGGTAGGGACCTGCAGAGGTCATCTAATCTAGTTCCCTGCTCAAAACAAATCCAATTAGATCAAATTCCTCAGGACTGTGTTTAGTCAAATCTTGACCACCTCCAAGGACAGAGATTACGCAGCCTCTCTAGACCGGTCAGTATTTTGTCATGGCTATTTTTTTTCCCGATATCTAGTCGGAATTTCCCATGTTCCAGCTTCTGTCTGTTGCCTCTCATCCTATCCTTGTGCACCTCCAAGATGAATCTAGCTCCATCTTCTCTGTATCCTCTGATCAGGTAGTTATAAATAGCAGTAAGATCTTCCCTTCATCTTCTCTTTTCTAAACTGAACAAACCCAGCTCTCTCAGCACTTCCTCGAATGTCCTCTGCTCCAGCCTCCTGATCAGCTTGGTGACCTCCACTGGACTCACTCCAGTACATCAATATATTTCTTGTACTGGGGAACTCAAAACAAGACAATACGACAGATTTGGTGTTATAAGAACCTAATAGGTGGGAAGGATCACTTCCCTAGACCTGCTAGTAGTGTTCTTTCTAATGCAGCTCAAGAAGTTGCTGGTCTTTGCTGTGAAGACGCATTGCTGGCTCATGCTCAGCTTGTTCTCCAGCACCCCCAGGTCCTTTTCTGGCAGAGCTGCTTCCTAAATGGCGGGGCCCCACCCTGTCCTTTGTATCGGAGTATCCTATTCTAGATATAAAACTTTGCGCTTGCTCTTATTTAACTTAATGAGGTTGCTCTCAACCCATTTTTCCAGCCTATTCAATCCCTCTGAAGAGCAGCTCTGCCTGCCAGTATATTGACTGCTCTCCTCAATTTGGTGTCATCCGTAAACTTGCTGAGACTGCACTCATCACTCATCATCTGGGTCATTAATAAAGACATTAAACAGTATTGGTCCCACTATTGATCTCTGAGGGACTGCGCTGGTTACTGACTTCCAGATGGACTTTGCACCATTGACCACAACCCTCAGCACAGGCTAATTCTTGATGATCCAAACTGAGTGTATGTCTCACTAGGAGAGATATAGGAGACTCTGACTGGAAAGTAGTGTAATATCCTTAATAACAACTTATTTCATCAAATGCTAGAGTATGTTCAAGAGTAAATATTTTGTGAAGGAATCAATCAAAAAGGATTATCAGATTTTGAGGCTTTTTCCTCTTCTTAGCTTTTAGTAGCAATTTAGGGACTTATTCTAAAAGCTGTTTTTGATATTGAAAAAGTGAATATCAAATTCCACCTGGATTTTCCCCCAGCTGGGCATTTTATACACTTTCCAAACTCTTCATTGCTGCCAAGCAGACCTTTAGCCAAAAGTCCATTGAATTAGTCTGGTTTAAGCAGCTGTGCCTATGTCTCTTAAGGTTAAAGCATCCTTGTCAGAAGTTACTCTTAGCCGTACTACTACAACTACATCTATTTTATATATTTGCTTTATCATTCACTTTATTTAACAGATGAGGAACCAGAAATATTTCTATAAAGTGCACGTAATAAATAATTTTACAAAGTACATGCAAGATTTTCCAAATTGCAATGTATACACTAATCCCATATACTTTAGCTTTAATACAATAATCCATATAACCATGAGCTAGTGATCCCAATGCTTTTTAAATACTAGGCCCTAATTCCATCTTTAATCAATCCAGCTTTTCTGTTATGCTTTAATCACTCTGCTATCTGAAGTCAATGCAAGTTTTGTCTTCATAGAGCTAGATTTCTGAAAGTGTTAATTAGTCTTAATCCAGCACTTAACGCAATAGTATATCATGAAATACGAATTTCAAGTAACATTACATCATTAAATATTGTCTATCAGAAGATTTGCCCTTTCTTCTGAAGTGGCATTAATCTTTAAATAAAGTACCACTTTGCAACACCATGAAAGCCTGTTCTGCTGCGGAATTTCAAGCAGACATTTAGTGCTTTACAATATTTTATATAATTAGCAGATATGAACCATCGAAAAGCTACTGCAGCTATACTGCTGTGCCATTGGCTACAACTCTCAGCTTTTAGCTGGAAATACAGAAAGTGAATCCAATGGCAGTAATAGCCCTCTCTGTTGTATATCATAAACAGATATGGCACTGAAGTCATCTGCGTTAAGACACACTGGGCCTACTTCTTTTTTTCCCAGATCTGTTTGTGTGGAGAACAATTTTTTCAAAAAACACAACCGTTTTCCATATATAGAGAGCACCTTTCAAATGCAATAGATGCAACAAATCATGCTGCCTCGAATGCCATATAATCGGGGAAAACGTATACAGATCCTTGACTTCGATGCTGCATCTCATTCTCCAGTTACTTTTCAAAGGGTACTTTCACTTTTTGAATAGCTAATTCTATCAGCTCAACTTTTCCTGTGCAAATAATGTTGCATGAATTGAACTGAAACCTGTGAAGCTAGAATAGTGTTATTTGTAAGAATTTGCTGAGCTTCTGACACATTTAATTCAGTGTCCTCCTACCTCTACAACTCCAGAGGAACTAAGGCTTTGTAAGAACATGACTTTTGTTTGGCGAGCTAAGAAAGGGATTTTAAAGTATACTTGAATACGTCTCTCTTAGTTAAATATAATTAAGTAACTTCAGAAAAAGAGAGTGATCTCTTCTTCATAGTTTGTTGATTGAAAGCATTTGAAGTTGCAGGGATCACCAAAGAACCTAAATACGAATCATGACCCAGCCATTAAGTTATCTAGAAGTTCTTAAGATTTTATTAATGAGGATTTGAGCACTGCCAAATCTATTCTTGGTGAGAAATTAGTACTTTCAAGAGTCATCTGCTGCAAATACATGCGTATCTCCCTTTTCCAAATTCAAATCACTCTTGTCAATCTCCAGTCCATTACACAGCAAATAGAATAGTGTGTAAGAAATAGGGAAATTGCTTTTCTCATTCCTGTTAAATACTACATCTGTGCTACTCCAATCATTTTCAGGAACACTCTCTAAAATGAAAAAAAAGCAGTTAAATGTCTTAAAATTATTATTACAGGTTTCCTGAAGAATAATACAGAGATCTGTACATCCACGTAATTCAATACATGACATGTGCGCCTTCTAGACATCACATACCACACACATCACCCTCTCTGAGACAATAGTAGTGAGAATCTCTGTAAAAGTAACAAGCACTGCACAGCTGGCTGCATATGAAACCCAGGTAAGTAGATTTTCTGCCTTTTTTTTGTTTTTGTGTTTGATTTTGTTTTCCACTGCTGTCTACCCATTTGCTAACATTTCAAATCATATTGCCTTACAAAGCAGAAAGCCAAGTAAGAGGTCAGATCATAATGGGTACATGGAAAAATTTATTATGAGCTGCTGCAAGATGAATAATCAAATGCACAATACGTTTCTGCTCCTCAGAATAATGAGAATCTAGTCCTGAAAACAGCCTCTCTTCCCATCGCTTTTACAAAATCGGCACCTCATAATCTCTAGTGAACATCTCACACCCTCCCCTGGTGATGAGCAAATGTGTCTAAACCATATTTTACAGAATATACCGGCTTGTTCAGAAAATCTGTGGTGAAGCAGACCCAGGATGGCTCAATGACTACAGAAACAGTATATACTGTCCTTCTGCTCTAGTGCTACCACTAACATTTGTACTATGAAACTGGATGTTAATGAAAATACCTAAGTATCATAAGAGTCATGATAAAATCAAAGTGTTAGAAACAAACAAATTAAAATAGGAGTGGTTTTTTTTTCACATGATATTTCTCATAAGTAGTTTCAGTGGGATAAATGAAACAAAGCTAAAACATTCGGTATTTTTCTTGGCTACATGAAACTCCAAGTGTAGAGTATTGGTTAGATGTCTTACAAGATTGTTTACAAGCATTAGTTTTGCCTGATTAGGCAAGGCCCACTCATGACCAAGGTAACTGAAAGAGTCAGCCACTTTTGTCAGCTTTTGGTTCTGGCTTCCTCCTATTTGCTCCGTTGAGACCTTGGGATATGTTCGCACACAACTCTTAAAGGCACTCTACAACCTCAAGCATTTATAGACCACACTGAAGCATCTGAAGAGAGAACAGTGGCTCCACTATGTGTGATTCCTTGTTTCTTGGGATTCTGTGTTTCAAAGGAACTTGAATCTTTTGGGGACTGTATTTCGCATTGGTCTCTTACTGCTCAAATGTGTGGGTGAAGGAAGACCTTAGAGTTGCTATGCTCTACACAAGCGGGATGGGATTAACTCATTATTTATCTAGTGGCTAAATCACCTTGAGTCTTTAGGAGAGAGGCAATTAGGAAGTCAAGACATACTAGCTATGTTAGGAAGTCTGATCTTAGAGCTTGCACTTGGCCCACAACCTGTAGAAATTTCACACTCAGTCCTGTAATCCTGTTCTCTCAGTTTAAAAGTAAAATGGCCACTTGCACTAGCAGAAATGGGATAAAGGGATAAAGCTTTCCATAACACAAATGACATTTCATCCTATTTTATCATTCAACAAAAGCATGGAAATATGGATTTTTTTTCTGCTAGAAACACAAAGACACCAGAGAATATTTGTAATCATGATGCTAATAAAAACAAAAAAGTTTCTTTCATTTTTCCTTCATACATACCTGCCTATTTTTTAAAAGAAGATATGTTTTAACCCTATGTACACTGAATTTGTAAGTCTTTCTGTATTAAGAAACTAGTTATTTCTTTAGGAGCTCTGTGTTATCAGAAGAGGTACACACTCTTTGGAGGATAAGAATAATTTCTCATTAGGCCATAAATAATTAACATAGTCTTTGTTTCCAAAGTCCATAAATGGACTATTTTGTTTCCAAAATGACTTGACTGTTGCATTTAGGCAGTTACTGCATAACATTAATCAGGTAAATTGTAACTCAGGTAACTTAAAAATGGGGAAAAATGAGCTCTGAAATACTTTTCAAAGAAAATTCTTGGTAAGTAGACTCTTCATTACCTTCACGCTTAATGTGTGGCTCCTTTTGTTTGTACTAGATCAGCTGATAGACCTCTTCATCTGCAGTATGAAGCATCAGGAAAAGACAAAGCAAGTGCATAAGTGGTATTTAGGAAAGTAGGATCAAATATTTTGTTTGGAGCTTTCATATTCCTTCTCTACTGTAGGAAATCTGACAATAATAAGGGCTAAAGCATTTCTTATGGTTCTCCAGAGGCATTAGCTGCTGGAAGGATAATTGTTAGCTGTTAGTACAGAGATCAATGCTGCAGGTTTGATTGAGGATGCTGAGGTTATCCAATTGTTAAATTAGCTTATTTTGAATGAATGAGTAAATTAAGCCTAAGAGATCTCCTTCAGATGCCTGCATTCTAAGTAACTACGCTGTAGCTTGTTACGGAGCCCTGCAATTCTTCCTCAAGGCCTTTTTCATTTATGTTTACCAGGTTGTTATAGGCTGCAAGATTTACCTTATGAGTTTCAAAAGTCAATGATTCTCTCTCTTTGAAGACGTAAATGCCCTTTGTAAAAAATTCACATCCTCAACTTTGAAGTTCAGCAGAAGTATAGTATTTTTACACTTCATTTAAATGTTAATGTGTTATTTTCTAAACTTTAGACTTCTAAACTGCTGCACAATTTCTAGACTTTGAGATGAAAATTTTCATATAGAAATGACATTTCCTATAGGTTATTCAAAGTGAAGTCTCTGTAGTTACATGGAGGAGAAGAGGAAGACAAAGGTTTCAGCAGAAGAAAATATAACTGTATTCACAGGTGAAATGTTAACTGATTAGCTACACTGAAATGAAGACCAGTCATTCTGAAGCTGCATTTAGTGTTTATGAAAGGCACTGAAAAGAAGACCGTTTAAATTCCCTCTTCATCCACAAAACAGGTGAGAACTTTTACTCCATGCTGCCTAAGTAATAGTAATTACTGGTACACTTGACATATTTATACAAGAGACATATGTACAGTTTCTACACCCAAGTAGGTCCAGGCTGTCAATGATACTGCTAATATTGATGAAGGCTTTTGGTGCAGGGGGGACTTTCTACATTAGAGAGTTCATGTTGCAGTAGGATAGCAGTGATCATACACTGGTACTGTATGGCACCCATTCTTCCACAAGTATAAGGGCTTAGTAAACAAAGGGCAAGTAAAACCATCCTGGGATGTCTTCCTGCCTCATTTAATTGGAAAAGAAGTCTCTTGACCACTTTGGAAAGAACTAAGTCTTCAGGATCTCAAAGATGATACAAAAAATATTGGCTTTCAATTCTGTCAGTAACTTACTACTCACTTCAATCAGTGTACCTAAAAAATTTAAACTCCCTTTTCCTAAGACAGAAATAAACAGTGGGAGAGGTATAGATCTAGCTATAATCTGCATTTGTTTCCATACATTCAGGGAAATACCATGAGGGCACAATGACTATACGCAGCACACAGCATGAGGAATAAACAGGAGGAGTTAGAGATCTGTGTGCAGTCACAGGGCTATGATCTCACTGCGATTACGGAGACATGGCAGATAGCTTGCATGACTGTCATGTTGTCATGCTCTTTAGGAAGGACAGGCCAGGAAGGCCAAGAAGGCCAGGAAGGCCAGGAAGGAGAGTCACCCTTTATGCAACTGGAATGCATTCAGCTTTATGTATGAGTGGGTGATAAGCGGGGTTAGAGTTTACGGGAAAGGCTTAACGGGCAGATTAACATGAGTGACATTGTTGTGGGTGTTTGCTATAGCTCACCTGATCCAGAAGATGAGGCATTCTAGAGACAGCTGGAAGTAGCCTCACAATCACAGGCCCTGGTTCTCAGCGGGGACTTTAACCACCCTGATATCTGCTGGAGGAACAACACAGCAGGGCACAAACATCCCAGGAGGTTCCTGGAGAGCACTGATGACAACTTTCTGAAAAAGGTGACAGAGGAGTCAACCAGGAGGGGTGCTCTGCTCGTGCATAAATCCACAGGCCCTGACGGGATGCACCCCCAAGTGCTGACGGAGCTGGTGGATGTCATTGCAAGTCCACTCTCCATCGTCTGTGAAAGGCCACAGTGATCAGCAGAGGTGCCTGAGGACTGGAAGAAAGCCAGTGTCACTGCAGTCTTCCAAAAGGGCAGGAAAGAGGAGCCAGGGAACTACAGGCCTGTCAGCCTGCCCTCCATCCCTGGGAAAGGGATGCAGCAGCTCATCCTGGACACCAGTTCCAAGGGCCTGTTCAGCCTGGAGAAGAGAAGGCCAAGAAGAGATTTATCAACGTGTATAAATATCTGAAGGGAAGGTGTAAAGAAGATAGAGACAAATTCTTTTCAGTGGTGTCCAGCAACAGGACAAGAGGCAACGGGCACAAACTGAACCACACGAAGTTCCATCTGAACATGAGGAAAAACAACTTTCCTGTGAGGGTGACGGAGCACTGGAAGAGGTTGCCCAGAGAGGTTGTGGAGTCTCCATCCTTGGGGACATTCAAAAGCTGTCTGAACAGAGTCCTAAGCAACCTTTCCAGGTGACCCTGCCTGAGCAGGGAGGTTGGACTAGATGATCTCCAGAGGTCCCTTCCAACCTCAACCATTCTGTGATTCTGAGGTACTTACTATACTTACTCCATCCAAAAGACTGATTTCTGGACCATCCATGAACACAACATGCTGTTAGATTTTTTTGGCTCCTGTATATAAGCCTGTCATTTGAGCATCTAACAGAGAGCTTGTTGAAGTGTTTTTGCTAGTGGATTAAGCCACATATCAGGCATATTAAGCTTCCAAACAGACTGGAGTATGAGAGGGCCTACACATTTCCTGATGCCACCCCTGTTTGCAGCAGGGCCGCATTTGTTGCATAATGAATTTCTGGGTAGCCCTCAAGGTGCAGCGCCTAGGTTCACTGACTGCAGCTTGGTTATGATTTTCCTAGGCTCCTTCAGCGTTATACGCTCTTAAGATGCTACACATGAAAAATCAGGTCCGGTCTTTCTCCACAGATGACCAAACACTGCAGTAGATTTTCTAGAATCATGGTGATATAAATCTAAAATAAATACATAGTACCAGGATAATAGCTATTTGTTCCTTTCTTTCATCTTAATTTTCAGTTTTTGATCTCATGGATATGAATATTCATACTTATCTTTTAATCTTAGAGTGAGGGTATTACACAGGGTAAATAATACTTTGCCCAAATATCCATTTCATCAAAGTTTCCTTTGAGATTAAAGCACTATTCACTATGATCAAGAAAGACAGAGCTGAATGCATGATTATCAAAAGGTCTACTGAGTCAGTCAGAGATTGCTTCATTTCAGTCAGACATCAGTGCAGTTTGCTATAGGCAAAACTCTCCTGCCCTTTGCAATTAGTACCATAAAAATCCATTTTAGAAGAAGACTGCACTCATACCATCTGAGAGGCACCGGAAGGCATTGGTTTTCTAAGGAAAAATGACTCCAGTGGCTCATGAGAGTAGGAAGGTAAAAGGCACAATACTATAACAACTTGCAGAGCCTACTGCTTCCTCCACAGCTGCCCAACTTCGATGGTCAGTAAGCATGGAGGCATGCATAGAAATGATCCTAGCCCTCTCCCTGCCATCTTCAAGATAACAGACTCACCCCTTTAAACAGGATGGAAGCAAGGGCTGCAATTCTGCCTGGTCTTTTCATGGGTCATACAAAAGAAAACCATTTTTTTCTTGGTCTTTGTCTAATAATTGTGGCCCACAGTGAAGACAGACTCAACTTATGTAGAAATGAAAGTCATCCACATCCCTTTTGCTTCAGGAATGTGGCTCCTTTTTGTCCTAATCTTACTGACCATCATGTTGGCAGGGTCAAAGATCATTTAACATCTATTCTAAGAATGAGCTGTAGTAGTAGATTATCTTCCTTACACTGTATTGCAAATAAAAGCACAGCTAAGCTATGTATGTATGTAGTTGTTAAGCTATGTATGAAGCCTCCTGACTCTTTCAATATTGTTAAACAGAATCAACTCTCACTCACCTATTACCAGCCCCTCCTTTAAATTAGAAATGTCCAAGGGTGAGGTGAAACTTAAATGATGCTGTTTCTCTAACTAACTGCAGAGAATTTGCCAGTGATCACAATTACAGCTTGCAAAGCAAGCGACGCTCAGCAGAGAGCTGAGCATAATCCAGCTCCTTTATGCCAAGTAGGGATGCCTGCTTCATTGCACAAAGAGTGACACTTTCCCAACGTGGGACTGTTAAAGTCACCTAGATACACTGAACAGTAGCACGACCCTCATGAGTGGACTGGTCCCCTGATTTCGCCACAACTGCATTGTAGAGGTAGACTCTATATTCTCTGTCCTCCTCTCTTCTTTACCCCCTTTTCTACTATGCTCAAGACGCTTGACTCTAGATGTAGATGAAGTAGGCCATTGCCATGGGCAGCAGATCACCAGCAGTATTAAAATGGTTGCAGACAGACCAGCTAATTTGTCAATGCCAGAGCCCTAAGAAGTCAGTCTGAAGATGGTGTGAGGGTGCAGAAGGGATGAGCCCCCTTCCAGCAGGAGCAGTCACAACCTCTCCCAACCTCTGCTAGTAGGATAAGCAGCAGACAGCTGTCGAGGACTCCACCCTTGGATTTTTATCTTCACTGTATGTCCTCCTTTTACCTTTCTCCTACGCATGGCAGGTGCCTCTCATCCTTGGTGAGGCACAATTCAATTTTGCCTGAGTGCAAAATTCAGCTTTGCCCATAGGTTTGAACATAAAGCCTGAAGTGCTGAGAAGTCCTATGGTGTTGTCAAACCACATTATAACAGAGGTGTTTGGTCCAGCACTCCATAGATCTACATTTTTATAAATTCATGCACATCTGCTCTCTGGCACTCTGCTTTTTCTTTTCCTTCTTCGAGTGGTGGCAAAGCACAGTTCAGTGTGGAAGGGAATAGAGATTTAATCCCTTAGTTTTTATGGCAGGATTTGACCTGGGATTTTGTGAGTATTAAATTAGCTCGAACACACATCTTATTTCTTCCAGTCTTCTCCAGAAAACAGTGAGCAGAGAGCACAAAAATCCTTTCTATAAGACTCTGAGAAGCCTAAAGAGTGACTCCGAAGTGCAGCCTATAGTTCTTAGTATTGAAGCCATCTGGCTTGAACATCCTGTGAGAAATCTCCCTCTGTTCTGTATGGCCTCTCTCACCACACACACACCAGTGGAGAACATTTAGGGTTATCATTCAAATAAATATTCCTGGTGTTATTCAGCCACTGCTGTACTAATGGACTAGTCCAACTGAAATGAACTAGAACCACATATAACCTGACTTGCTCATCCTAGTTTCATAGCAAACACTTTATCCTTTCTACCTACAAAGGTCTGAGGTAAAATCAATACTGTTTATGGAAAGGATAGGATATCAGTCTTAAGGTATTTCAGTTTAGCAATCTGTATGTAGATTTCTACATGTGAGCTCTTATTACAAAGAGAAGTCTGTACATCAGTTCAGCTCATCCCATGTTAGATCCCCAAGATATGATCCTGTTGCCTAAACATAGGTATTTAAAGCTGTTTACAATAACCTGAGGCTAATCTTAGCCATGTATGATGAAGGACCTATGGGAGATATGTATCCTACTGGAGAAACCCTAAGGCATTTCAAATCATTTAAGGTGCCTCTGCTTAGGCAACTTAATTTGGCTCTTCAGAGCTGGTCAACTGATTTGCTTTAAGGGTTCCATAGGTTTTACGACTGGATCTCAACCAATAATGTGAGCTTAGAAACTTGGTTCACATATGAATATCTTCATTGCGATGTCTTAATTTAGAAATGAATCCCATCCCTAGTGATTTCAGCTGCTATCAGATCTGATCGCAATGAAGTGTCGGCACCAATTCCCGCGCTGAAAGTAAGAAGGAGATAAGACTAAGCAGCAGCAAATTTTCTGATGGGCAAGAGGGACTGATGGACAGGCAGTAAGACCTCTTCTTGAGTTGTTTGTTTCTTTTAATCAAAAACAGCAACAACATCTAAACAAAAATCTCATCAGAAGAGTAATTTTTGCAAAGGAGTAATTAGGGAGGTGTATTCACTATAAGCAGAATCACTAGGCCCTCTGGAAGGTAACTAAATAAATATCTTGTGACATACTGTACAGTTGTAATTGAGGTCTGCTGTGGGGAAAAATGCTTTGAACAATTATTATTTACTCAGTAATTATTACAGTATTATTTACTCTGATGAAAGTATGCAGAATAAAGGCAGAAAGGTCCTTTTTATTTACAGCCATTTAGGTTTATTAAGTAACTACACAGAGTATTCATACTGACTGCAGTCTGTTGACTATTTGCTTGGAAACAAACATAGTACATCCACAGCAGGTAAGTTAAACCTTGTATTATGTCATCAGGATGGAGGTAAGAGCCTTTTACACAGCATTTAGAGACACCTCCACACAGATCTGAATTCTACTGCACACAGAGGAGTGGGCAGCTGCCTCTCCTTGACTAACTCAGAGGGGCTTTTCGTCCTCAGAATGAGGGTTTTCTGCAGGGAATCTAGCAAGAAAGCGTCAAGTGAAATCAGGTAGGCAGCTGAAATACAAACTTCAAGGGAAATGTTTAGGACTTTTAAGCTTTGCAACACTAACAATAAAAGACTGACACTGAGGAGCACTTTGAATTTACGTTGCTGTGTTGTAGTGGGCTCCAGAGATTCTGAAAGTGCTAGGTAACTCCATGGGCCATAGACCAGTTAGTTCTGAGTATGGTCTATATGTCCTTCAAAATTAGGTCAGTCTGACTCCACTAACAACACATCATATTTTCAAATTTCTCCTTATTCCTATATTTCCACTTTCTTGGAGAAAACAGTTC